CCGACGTCGGGCAACACGGGCATCGGCTTGACCTCATGGCAGTCCCTTGTTCTCTTGTGTCCCTCTGGACCTCTCCCTTTCCTCCCCAGAGCGTGCTGGTTGAGCCGACGTCGGGCAACACGGGCATCGGCTTGACCTCATGGCAGTCCCTTGTTCTCTTGTGTCCCTCTGGACCTCTCCCTTTCCTCCCCAGAGCGTGCTGGTTGAGCCGACGTCGGGCAACACGGGCATCGGCTTGACCTCATGGCAGTCCCTTGTTCTCTTGTGTCCCTCTGGACCTCTCCCTTTCCTCCCCAGAGTGTGCTGGTTGAGCCGACGTCGGGCAACACGGGCATCGGCTTGACCTCATGGCAGTCCCTTGTTCTCTTGTGTCCCTCTGGACCTCTCCCTTTCCTCCCCAGAGTGTGCTGGTTGAGCCGACGTCGGGCAACACGGGCATCGGCTTGACCTCATGGCAGTCCCTTGTTCTCTTGTGTCCCTCTGGACCTCTCCCTTTCCTCCCCAGAGTGTGCTGGTTGAGCCGACGTCGGGCAACACGGGCATCGGCTTGACCTCATGGCAGTCCCTTGTTCTCTTGTGTCCCTCTGGACCTCTCCCTTTCCTCCCCAGAGCGTGCTGGTTGAGCCGACGTCGGGCAACACGGGCATCGGCTTGACCTCATGGCAGTCCCTTGTTCTCTTGTGTCCCTCTGGACCTCTCCCTTTCCTCCCCAGAGCGTGCTGGTTGAGCCGACGTCGGGCAACACGGGCATCGGCTTGGCGTTCATAGCAGCGGCGAGGGGCTACAAGCTCGTCCTCACCATGCCCGCCTCCATGAGCCTCGAGCGCCGCGTGCTGCTCAAGGCCTTCGGGGCCGACCTCGTTCTCACGGACCCTGCCAAGGGTATGAAGGGCGCTGTGGCCAAGGCGGAGGAGATTGTGAAGGGCACCAAGAACGCCTACATGCTGCAGCAGTTTGAAAACCCCGCCAATCCCAAGGTAGAATTTTCAAGCTTTCATGTTTTCTAATAAATCCTCGGTTTTGGAGGGGCTGGGCTTGTTCTGAGACGTTTTATGCATGTCACTGCTTTGGGACGCTTTGGTAGCTTTGGAAGGCGTTTGGGGCGGACCCGGTGCTCGCAGACCTGTTGGGGACCCGGTGCTCCGGGACCTGAGGCTTTTGAGACGTCTCAAAACTCGGGCCGGGTGTTCCGGGACCCCGCCAAGGGCATGAAGGGCGAATCGTGCTGCCACTTTCCTCTGGTTGATGTTCTTTGCCTCGGATTTTTCTATGTGGCGTGATGCAGGTGCACTTTGAGACAACGGGGCCTGAGATCTGGGAGGACACTAACGGGCAGGTGGACATCCTTATAGCGGGGATAGGCACGGGCGGCACCGTCACTGGCGTGGGACGCTACCTGCGCAGCAAGAAGCCTGGCGTCAAGGTGCGTGTGATTGTACCGAGGGGGAGAGGGGGCGCTAGCACTAGTATGTGTCAATGTCCGCACTGGTATGGGCGTTTGAAGAGCAACCTGTTTCTGTCCGCACTGGTATGGGCTTTTTCCACCAGTCTTTATCTTCCCTTCTTCCCTGTCCCCGCTTCCTGCCTACCCCCTTCCCACCCGTTTTTCCACCTTCCCGGAAGGTGGAAAAACGGGTGGGAAGGGGGTAGGCAGGAAGCGGGGACAGGGAAGAAGGGAAGATAAAGACTGGTGGAAAAAGCCCATACCAGTGCGGACAGAAACAGGTTGCTCTTCAAACGCCCATACCAGTGCGGACATTGACACATACTAGTGCTAGCGCCCCCTCTCCCCCTCGGTACAATCACACGCACCTTGACGCCAGGCTTCTTGCTGCGCAGGTAGCGTCCCACGCCAGTGACGGTGCCGCCCGTGCCTATCCCCGCTATAAGGATGTCCACCTGCCCGTTAGTGTCCTCCCAGATCTCAGGCCCCGTTGTCTCAAAGTGCACCTGCATCACGCCACATAGAAAAATCCGAGGCAAAGAACATCAACCAGAGGAAAGTGGCAGCACGATTCGCCCTTCATGCCCTTGGCGGGGTCCCGGAACACCCGGCCCGAGTTTTGAGACGTCTCAAAAGCCTCAGGTCCCGGAGCACCGGGTCCCCAACAGGTCTGCGAGCACCGGGTCCGCCCCAAACGCCTTCCAAAGCTACCAAAGCGTCCCAAAGCAGTGACATGCATAAAACGTCTCAGAACAAGCCCAGCCCCTCCAAAACCGAGGATTTATTAGAAAACATGAAAGCTTGAAAATTCTACCTTGGGATTGGCGGGGTTTTCAAACTGCTGCAGCATGTAGGCGTTCTTGGTGCCCTTCACAATCTCCTCCGCCTTGGCCACAGCGCCCTTCATACCCTTGGCAGGGTCCGTGAGAACGAGGTCGGCCCCGAAGGCCTTGAGCAGCACGCGGCGCTCGAGGCTCATGGAGGCGGGCATGGTGAGGACGAGCTTGTAGCCCCTCGCCGCTGCTATGAACGCCAAGCCGATGCCCGTGTTGCCCGACGTCGGCTCAACCAGCACGCTCTGGGGAGGAAAGGGAGAGGTCCAGAGGGACACAAGAGAACAAGGGACTGCCATGAGGTCAAGCCGATGCCCGTGTTGCCCGACGTCGGCTCAACCAGCACGCTCTGGGGAGGAAAGGGAGAGGTCCAGAGGGACACAAGAGAACAAGGGACTGCCATGAGGTCAAGCCGATGCCCGTGTTGCCCGACGTCGGCTCAACCAGCACACTCTGGGGAGGAAAGGGAGAGGTCCAGAGGGACACAAGAGAACAAGGGACTGCCATGAGGTCAAGCCGATGCCCGTGTTGCCCGACGTCGGCTCAACCAGCACACTCTGGGGAGGAAAGGGAGAGGTCCAGAGGGACACAAGAGAACAAGGGACTGCCATGAGGTCAAGCCGATGCCCGTGTTGCCCGACGTCGGCTCAACCAGCACACTCTGGGGAGGAAAGGGAGAGGTCCAGAGGGACACAAGAGAACAAGGGACTGCCATGAGGTCAAGCCGATGCCCGTGTTGCCCGACGTCGGCTCAACCAGCACGCTCTGGGGAGGAAAGGGAGAGGTCCAGAGGGACACAAGAGAACAAGGGACTGCCATGAGGTCAAGCCGATGCCCGTGTTGCCCGACGTCGGCTCAACCAGCACGCTCTGGGGAGGAAAGGGAGAGGTCCAGAGGGACACAAGAGAACAAGGGACTGCCATGAGGTCAAGCCGATGCCCGTGTTG